GGAAAGTGGATGCTATAGTCCGATGGCTTGTGCTTCAAAGGAGCTGGGTTTTTAAACATACAATTGTGTTCTACATGTTATATTATACTCGCTATATTTCAGTAGATCATATTTCATGTAACATAGCATATGTTGTATATTTTCTAAAATACAGATATTATGTATCTGTATAAAATGTACATAATTATGCATATATTTATCTATATAATAGGATGCATGTGAGCATGAAGTCAATGCCAAGCTAATCTTAACAGAAATATCATCCAAGCCAGGAAGACTAGAGAACCATCTGCCCTACAACATAAAATCTCTCTTTAGTACCTAAAAGATAATGTCCCGAAGGTCTCTGGACAAATACAAAAGTCTTTTGCTCTCATCACCCCTTTCTCTTTGTGCCATAACTGTCTCTTCCCCCTCCCTTCTCTTGACATATTAAAGTTCAGCCCTGGCTGTAGTAGTTCCAGATCTCCTCAGACACACTTGTACAGAACCTCTCTTGGGTATTTTCTACAGATGATTCAGATGATCACAGACAGCGACAGGTGAGGGAACCATTTATTGAGATAGCAGAGGGGAGGGTGGAAGGGGAGGAAGGGGAGGGGAGGGGAGGGGAGGGGAGGGGAGGAAGAGAGTATCTGTTGCTGTCTAGATGGAGGCATCCAGCAGGTATCTAGAACTCTAGTGAAAGTTATGGGCTGACAATAAGCATCTGTGCATTATTAGCTTATACCTGGCAGTTGAATTCGTAGGTTTAGAGGAGAAAAAACAGGAACAGTACGGAGAGTAAGAAAACCAAGAACAGGCACTCAAGGTCAGCAGCATTTAAGGAGTGATCAGAGAAAACTAGCCAGGAAAGCAGAGATTGGGGAAGAACAGAGTATTTCAAAAGGAGAGATGCCAACAGTGTTACATTCCACAGAGTGGTCACATGAGGTCTGAAAAGAGCAGGGGCTTGGCAGTGTTGAAGTCTTGACGACCTTTGTCAGGGTGGTTCAGAGAAGAGGCGTGGGTGGGAGGCTGGGAGTGAAGACAACAGTTGCCGCTTACTCTTTCTGGGCGTTTGACTCCAAGGGAAAGGGAAACTAAAAGCAGTAGCAGAGGGCATGTGTTTGAAGTAACTGCTATGAGGAAGGGTCAGGGCAGCCAGCCAGGCAAGCAGCCCCAAGGCCTAGCTAAGTGAGATTGGACACTACAGATTTGTAATGCCACCAGTCTGCACAAATGGATAATTTACTCCAGGAGTGCTCAAACATTCAGTTGTAAGGACAGATACGTAGATCGAAAGTAGAGTATCTTCAGGATGAATTCTACAGAGACAAAGAGGCATGTTTATTGAAGTCGTGGCAAGGAATAATTAAGACAGCATACTATTGCTGTGTTGTCCAATATTATAGCCACTAGACATAGATGACTAAATTTCAACTAATTAAAATTAAGTAAGATTTAAAATTCAGTTTCTCAGTCATACTAGATACATATCAAGTGCTCAATGGCTGGTGCCTACCATATTGTTCAGCACAGCAAAAGAACATTTCCATCAAGAACATTTCCACAAAGAGTTATCTTGGAAAACACTGTCTAGACGAGATAAAGCTGAGGTCTCGATGCAGCTGAACAACAGATGTAGAGGTAGTAAGCAAGAGCAAAACCTGAAGAAATAGGAGGTGGTGGACAGAGATGAGCATATTGAGATTGAAATTCTGGGGGTTGAGCTGTTCCAGGTAATAAGGTTCAGAGTTATGTTATGGGAGGGATGCTGCTGAAATAATGTGTGGAGGATGACCTTTGGGGTTGACAAGGTCAAAGAACTTTGAGGCAAGGTTGTTGGTGGACTCATCCATGAAGAAGTCACCCAATTGATGGCAAGAATTGGTTAGAAAGAAAGACCTGCATCTAATGTCAGAATCCTCAGTGAACAAAGGGATAGTGATCAATGATGAGTAGCTAACAGCAATGAGAGAGGCAGGCACCTCAAAAGGGGAGGGTGTTGCTCAAGGTCCCTGCGAAGTGTGATAAAACAAGGAGCAGCTGGGGCAAGTGGCTTCCTTTGAGTAAGGCCAGATATCAGTGAAAGCACAACCTTGCAGAAACCTTTGACAGGAAGATTGAGGACATAGAAGAGTGTTCTTCTAGTAAACAATGGAATGAGGCTTCCAGAGGGCCTAGTAAAGCTTGAAGGAAGTTTAGGAAAAGAAGGAAGATTTGTGAGTATGGATAAGTAAGAATGAGATGAGGATGAGATGGTTCTTGAGTATGTTAAGACATGCATTTGGGGTAGTGACCAGGGAAAACTGAAGTCCCAGTGGGAACAGAGACCTCACAAGGTTAGCAGACTAAACTTTTGTGTGGTATTCAAACAGTACAGTATATTGCTCAGGAGCTCCTTGAGTATTCTTTGAGACAAACTCTTTCAGCTGATTAGGGAGATGTCTAGCTGGATTTTTGAGTGCCTCACTCCTGCCATCATCATAGTGATCAGTTATAACTAGACCTCAACCATTCCTCTTACCCCAGTTCTGTGGAAGGGAGAAATTCTCAATGTTCACCTATCCACGGAGTCCCAGCAAATCCAGTTGCTAGGTGGCCTGAGTTCTGGGGTCATAATAGGGGAGGCTGGAAGCTACTGGGGGAAAACAGACCTTGAGCAAAATCTTTTCCATATGGTCAGAGAGGGGATTAGCAGGATGCGCCATTGCCTAGCTCTGAGTGAGATCATGGAAGCCAGTGGTTGGTGAAGAGCTACAGAGAGTAAGTTGTGAAATACTTTCAGTTCCACTCAGAAGGAGTTTCAGTGTGATTTCCACCCCATGGGGAGTAGAAAGGGTGTTGGGAGGAACCAGTGGAAACGAATTTGTGCTGTCATTTGCTATGCACTCAGGAGACAGAAGCAGAGATTCTCTACAGCAGTTGCTCACATTGGAGCTCTTGTTGAAATGCAGATTTTGACTCAGTAGGTCTTGAGTGGGGCCAGAGATTCTGCATTTCAGACCAGCTCACAAGGGATGCCAATGCCATTGGTCCACAGGTCACAGTTGCAGTTGGTAGGTAAAGAAGGGGGCAGTTTGATGAGTGGAAGAGAAAGCCCTTGTAATCTTTGGGAGAATGGGCCTGGCTCAGAGAAGTTGGTCTATGAGTAGAGAGAGTGAGTGGGAAGGAGAGAAGATACTGTGAGGCTCTGCAGAGAAAAAAAAACGTAAATCAAGAAGCCTGAAGGCATGAAGGCAAAGGGCGAAGTCATTTCTAGGTCCAGAAGGCACAACTGACAGCTGAGTAATAACTTAACATCGACCGTTAATTGGCAGAATTTTCAACTATGTGTTTGGTTTCTCCATTAGGTCATCTGCCATGTATCGTAAGGCAAATTAGAACCAAACCAGAATGTATTTTCCCAGAGACAGCTCTAGAAGCTTTTACAGTAGGTGGCACTCTTGCATTACATTAAGAGCTTAGCAAAGGAGACGTAGAAGCCTCAGGTTTGCCTTGTAAGGTAATTACAGAATACAGTAAGTCTTCCTTAGGTACTCCCCTTCACAATCTGAGTGCCCACATAGATTTTTCCTTCTCCCTCCAACGTAGGCATGCATCCTGTACAGATGGTGTGTTTTATCCTTAAGTGCTTCACAGAGTTCTAGTGAGTGTAATGCAAGAAGCAGTGATTCAAATTTATGCCAACTTTCACCGATGCCCAGAGTCTGCTTCCCTTAGAGTTCAAGACCATCACCAACCCCTTGATTATGTGTTCTCGTTGGGCCATTCTGTACACAGTTTAGTTTTGCCAAGTGCATGCCACTGTTATCTGTCCTTCTATTCCCTCTTTGAAGGGAAACCCATTAATCAGATCAATTTAATTTCTCCCCCATCAAAAACACTTTGAATGAAATTCCTCTCATCTCTCTCACCAACCCATCCCCGCCCTTAATGTTAACATCCCTTCGCAGAAATCCTGAATGATGAAATTTTATTTAGAACTGACTCTAACTTCCTCCCTAAGGTGGCAGCTAACTTCACATTAACTAAAACAGCATTCCCAGCGCCCATCCCCTGTACTTCTCACTCACCCCGGCTTACTTTCTTTGCCAAGCCTCAAGTAACTGTAGACATTTTCTGGGTTCAATCACATTTAAGGAGTTGGGAGGCCCAAATCCCTCCCCTAAACTCCAATATGCTCTCAGGAACCAAAGCCTTTCTCTGAACTCTTCGAGCGTGTTCCCTGTGGGTTGTGAAAATTTCCAGGGGCAGTATATACTGGGAGCAGCAAGCTTGCGGTACCTGGGGTTTTCCCGATACTCCCAAAGCACATCGTCACCTTCCCACCTATGATTCACTTCCAGCATTTCATTCATGTGCCTTAAATGATCTCTGACCACCCACAATCCCAAAAGAACCATCAGGTTTGCCCAGTTCTCTTTCTGTCCCTGAAAGAGCTTAGAGAGGTCACTGAGAATAGAGGCCTTCGTTCACTATTTGAGTCATTTCCAAACCAGCTGACGTCCTTAGATGTGCTGGCCATGGGAGCAGCAGCCATGGGGGATGTTTGAATTTCAAAGATATTACTCAATGTGATCCCCAATTAATGAGGCATAATAAAGGGGAGCTATCAAATATATTACCGTTATCAGCAATCTCTTCACCACAGCAGGTGGTGAATGAGTTGTCTAACTGTGCTAGTTTTCCCAGTTCTAGGATTTAAATTTATAAAACCCTAGTACTAGAAAGACCCTTAGGACATTTAATCGACGCCTTCATTTAACAGATGAGGAAACTGAGGCTCATAAAGGTTGCAGTTTGCACAAGGTCATATATTTAGTTAGCAGTGAAGCAAGGACAGAAGTCCTGATCTCCAGGTGCCTAGCATATATGCGCAGTTCCAGAGCTTGTTATCTAGTCCTTCAGTGTCATTACTGATAAGATAGCATCTAGGTATTATGTAAAGAGAAATGAAGTTATTTTTTTCTCCCCTCTTGTTCCTTCTTCCCTAATCCCTACTTTTCCTTTTTTAGATGCTGTTCCCCTGAAGATCAAGGCTTATTTCAATGAGACTGCAGACCTGCCATGCCCATTTACAAACTCTCAAAACCTAAGCATGAGTGAGCTGGTGGTGTTTTGGCAGAACCAGGAAATGTCGGTTCTGTATGAGCTATACTTAGGCAAAGAGAAACCTGACAATGTTAATCGCAAATATATGGGCCGTACAAGTTTTGATTGGGAAAATTGGACCCTGCGACTTCACAACATTCAGATCAAGGATCAGGGCTCATATCAATGCTTCATCCATCACAAAAAGCCCAAAGGAATGATTCTCATCTACCAGATGAATTCTGACTTGTCAGTGCTTGGTATGTGGTCAGTGGTGTGTTCTGATTCTTGACCTTCTCAGATGAGATTGCAAATGAATAGGGAAACATTTGAGTTGGGGGAGAGGAGGTTTGAGGGACCCGGGAGAGAAGGAGGCCTATAGAGAGAAGCAGAGAACAGCCATTTCTGGGGAAGTCCATTTGAAGGGAGTTTGGGGTCTGGGGAGAAGAGAACTGAAAGTCCTTTGTGCTTTTTATAGTCTGCTTCTGAAGGATCAGTAAGAATCTGCTCTGGAGACAAAACAGAGCTAAGTGAACAAAGGTAATATATATGGCTAAGGGAAAACCATGGGTAATTTGGCCATTACTAAGTTTATGGAACCATGTGGACCTCAAATCTTTTACACTCATTTTCTCCTTTGGTCCAGGATTTTTCACCTTCTAAATCATTGCCTGGAGCTCTTAGGAAAGGTGACAGCTGACTGTTTTGGGTTTTCCCTGCAGCCTCCTATAGATTGCTTATGAGTTGTCTGCTGCTACAACCATTGACCTGGTAGACAGAAGGGAAATAACCCAACAAACGTAATCCCACAAACTGACAAACCACCTCCTCTGCTTCACCAGACTTTAAAAGGTCTAACTGTCACTACAGATTTTTTTAAACAGTAAAATTAATTTTTTGTTTTGGTATACAGTTCTATCAGTTTTATAGATTACATATAGATTTATGTAACTACCATTATTAACAAGATACAGAACATTCCAATCACCCTAAAAAATTCCTTCATGCTATTCCTTTATAGAGTCATACTCTCTCTGCATCCGTAACCCTTGTTTTGTATCCTATAGTTTTGTCTTTTTGAGAATGTCACAGGGAGCCATACAGTATATAACCTTTTAAGACTGGCTTCTTTTATTCAGCATGCCTTTGAGATTCATCCAAGTTGTTGCATGTATCAAAAGTTTGTTTCTTTTTATTGCTGAGTAGCATTTTATTATTTAGCCATTCAACTCAATGAAAGACACGGGGTTGTTTCCAGTTTGGGGCCATTGTGAATAGAGCTGCTGTGAACATTCATGTACAAGTTTTTGTGTGAATTCAAGTTGCCATTTCTCTAGAGTAGATACCAGCATGGTGTTACTGGATTCAGGTTAATTTCTGATGAAACTGGAAAATACAGATCCATGTCTGTTCTGAAACCACAGTGTAGAACACAGGCAAAAGTAGAAATGGAATGGTCCTTTGAACCCTATGTGATTCAAACTAGGCTGCAGGGCTTTTGGAACATTTAATCAAGTGCTAAATCAATGTTTTCAAAATGTGGCCAGGTACTATTGGAGAAACATAGTATGTTTTAGGTGGGACACAGGTAAACATTTTTAACAGTTTTGTGTTTGTTTTAATATGTATTATAAAAACTATAACCCAAGTATCCAACCTGCGATTTCACAGATATTGCTAATAAAGCTAAATAAATAAGGTCTGACAATCCACCTTCTGTAGACCACACATGAAGTATAAGAAGAATGCTCAAATAGTATGTTGTTATAGCAAAACTTGTAAAGATGATATGCAATGACTGACATTTTAGAAACAACATACTAAATTATAAATTAGCATGAAGTACCTGCAAACTTCCTAGTTATTATAGAAGAGCAAGAGATTTAGTTGGCAGAAGTTACATGAGCCAGGTCTAGGGGCAAGGTGCCAGTAATCCTCAACCACTAGAAAATATAAATGGTAAATAAGGGCAAGAGAAGCAGTGTGTTTATCAAGATTATGTATTTTTCCCTAAAATGACTGGATTTGGCCTTCGTCTTATAGTATGTTATGAAGACACCTTGACACTCATGTGAAAAACCAGTATTCTGAATTTCTAAATCCAAAATCCCCACCCACTCACCTACCACCATCCTGTGTGGGTTTCTGAAAGACATGACCCAGGGCATGCCAGCATCATGAATTCGGTTAGTTCCTGCTAAGACTTTAGCTCAACCCTTTTTGCTCTTTAAGTCTGGTGAACTGGAATGTACCAAATGGGAACCTAGACGCTAGAGTCAGTACACTTCTCCTTTCAAAGACTCCACTCTCTGGGATAGTGTCTTCATTGTAAATCTTTGGTGACTCACTTTTAGCCTCCCTGTCACTCAGAGAGCATTCCCTTGATTTGGATAAGCAGGAAGCAAGCATGGCTCAAAACTCTATTCTTTAAAAATAAATGTGAGGTCATTATATGGCTCTCACCTTGGAGCAAGGCCCACATTTTAGATACCCTGGGGCTCCCAGGTGTGCCCCAGTGAGCCCCAGATCAAGTACCTAGTTATTTTCTGTTCTCTTCTAGATATATCAAAACTTAGACTGATTTTTTTTGTATCTCTGTTTTCAGCTAACTTCAGCCAACCTGAAATAATAGAAATTTCTAATGTAACAGAAAATTTGTACAGAAATTTGACCTGCTCATCTATACAAGGTTACCCAGAACCTAAGAAGATGAGTTTTTGGCTTAAAACTGAGAATTCAACTACTTTGTATGATGGTGTCATGCAAAAATCTCAAGATAATGTCACGGAACTGTACAACGTTTCCATCAGCTTGTCTGTTTCACTCCCTGATGTTACAAGCAATATGACCATCATCTGTGTCCTGCAAACTGAGCCAATGAAGACAGAGCTTTTCTCCTCACCTTTCTATATAGGTAAAGCTGCTTCCCAAGACTATTTCTTTCATCACGTATTATACACAAATGCTTAATGCAGGTCATTCAATGCCCCCTGCTTGTTAGGAAACCTCCAACTGGGCCATTTTATGATGCTGTTAGGAAGGACCTAGCTGGAGGGCTCCTGCTTCACCCAAGTAGTGTAGAGACCAGGAGGCTATGAGCCTATGATGCACTTGAAGAAACATGTTCTTACCCCTGAAACTGACCCAATAGTTTGGGCTACTTTTGGATGGAGAATTCTGAAGTTTTGGTCAGGAAATGCAGGATTCTTCCAGGCTAGAATTCTTCCGTTGATTAAAACACACATACACAGGCACGCGCACACACACAGGCACTATGCATGCATACATACAGTACTTGTTACGAGTACAGAGCCATTCTAGACATTATTGGTTGTAAGGGTGAAAAGTAAAAGGTGTAAAACACCCTCTCTGCCCTTGAGGACCTTCCTATAGAATCAGAACTCCATGATGGAAAACTGGATTTTAAAAAGGTTGAATTGAAATCTAAATTATATTCCATGGACATATTTGACTAAATTTGAAACAAAAGCAACTGATAGTTTTATGGGCATTCAGAGGCAGGCAAGATTTTTTGAGGGTCAGAGAAGGCTTCCTAAAGGAAGGGGGACCTTATAACACTACAAAATAAATTGTTGGGCTTGCTAAGTGAGAAGAGGGGAGGCCATTCTAGATGACGAGTTTCCCAAATTCCAGTGACTTCCTAAGCAGAAAAATGTTGAGACACTGTCTGGGCTCGGCAGGTAAGAGGACCACAGTGGATAGCAGTATCTGACATAAGTGCAGGAGGTGTGTTAAAGAAAGACTCCAAGGCAGAAATGCTTGTGGCATGTTCACAATGTGCTGAGGGGACCAGTTCAGTGGAGGAAAGAGTTGAAAATAATCAGTGTCCACTAATAGGAGCCTGACATTTTAAAGTCCTGGCTTTGCTCCAGAGGGCATATATTCAGATGTGAGACTTTCCTTTGGAGAAGCAATAACTGCAAGAGTCCCTCCGGGAATAAAGGTGCTCTGCACCCACCCTGCGCCATCACTGCTTGTGGCTGACCTTGACCCCCACATCTGCCTTCCACTTGCCTTGGCTCCCTTTCCAGCCCTGACTGCTTAGCTTGCCCATTCCAGTGACATCCATCCAATTCCTCGCTCCATCTCCTGGTGTCTCATTGTTCAGACATAACTTGACCTATGGACATACTCTTATGAACAGCCTCTGGGGCCAGTTCCCATGAACCAACTTTAAGACTAATGCCAGGCCGTCTCCTGGAACTGATTTCCTTCCACTCAGACATCTCAGCCCTGGGAATCCAGTGAATGGGGGAACCATCCAGCCTGTCCCAGTCGCTTCTACTGTTGCCTCTCTTGGCCTGATAGAAGCGTCTCCAAGCTATACCCGAAGCTCAGTACCTTCTTATAGCCACTGATATCACCACATATAACTTGCCCCAGTGCCCTCTGCTATGGCTCCTGCAGTCTACAAATGAGCATGGACTTGCTGCCACTCTAGCCTCATCGTGGCTCCCCTTTCTGCTGCTTCTCAACTCCTGTGCTGCCAAAACTCCCGGGTACCACCAGCTTCAGAATATTTCAGCTCTAGCTGCCTCAGGAAGGGGCTTGCCTCTCTGAGTCCCTATTATATGGCTTGATAAGAGATAGGTTAGATTCTGAATCAAGGAACCTTTTGGGGTGTCAAAAGGTAGCAGTCTCCATGTTAATAGGTATAACCCCCCTTTACTGGGAATGCCAAACAGGCTCAAGTGGGATAAACTAGGACAGATTCAAAGGGGATCGAATATGCCCTGCAATACCGACAACTCCTTTTCTTTATGTCCCAGGATCAGGGAACTTGTCCACAAATTATAGCTAAGCTAACAGGTGATTACCCGGTTCTGTTTTTCCTATAATTTAGGATTAACTTCCAGAACTGTTCCCAAAAGTGTCTATAAAATGGGAAACTCGGTTCTAAGTTTTCTCCATAAAGTCTGTTTTTCAACTTCCCAGAAACGTAGGAGTTTCCATGCAAACAACTAAGTCCTGACCTCCAGGGAGCTGATTTTGACCTTGCTTCCTCAGGGCATGAAGAACTATCAAAGGTTTTCCAGTAGGGTAGACATGCTGAAAGCCATGGGGGGAAGCCTGCTGTGACCTCAGTGGAAAAAACAAACAAACAAGCAAAACTGGACGTAGGGGCCAGTGAGGAAGCTGTCCCATTTGTCTAAGTGAGAGGTGTGTGGAACCTGATCTGGACATGGTAGTGGACAGAGGACTTATCACAAGGGTAACTTCAGGACATGGGGACTAACTGCAGAGGAGCTGGATAGCAGACACTGCACAGATGGCTGCACATTGAGAGCCTCCGCACAGATGCCTTACCCAGATTCCAGAATCGTGGGCCAGGCTGACCCTCTTCTTCCAGATTATGGTCAGTGTCATTCCCACCTCCAAGAAGGGAAGGCAGCTCAGTCCAGGCATTTGGCCAGAAGCACAAGCCTAGTTCTTAGTTAGCTGATAAGGCCCTGAAACTAGGATTTTCTATGGCTTCATATTGTGGATTTTAGGGTCCTCTCGCCCTAGAGCTCTGGGGAGATGCTGGCAGGTAAATAAAGAGAACAGCAGCTAGTATAAACTTTTTGTAAACAACTTTCCTGGCTGATTGAAAACTTGTGGTTATTTCTAGATCCTAAGGACCCCCAGCTTGAGCCTCCAGACTACACCGTCGGGATTGCAATAGCTATAACTCTGACACTGGCAATTGGAATTCTGCCGATACTCGGTTATATTCGATGGAGGAAGAAGAAGAAGAAGCAACCTGGCATCTCTAATGAACGTGGTGAGTCAGTCTTTGTCCTCCCTGCAGATTGCCACTTTGCAGCTATTTCCCAGTCAGCTGCCTTCTAGAGCTGGTTGACTGAGCCTAGACTGGCGAAAAGTCAGCAAGTTGTTGGAGGAAAAGGTTTTCCCTCAGGCTTCGGAGGCTCTGTAGACCGGACTCAGCAGCTGATAATGTTTCTCTTGAACTTCAAAGAAAGGAAACATTTCTAACCTAAGGTTCACAAATGTACTTCTGGTCTCCAGGCAAACCGATTATTACTTGCTTTCTCTACCTCACTTCATGAGGCTATTGCAACAACTCAATAAAGTAAAATGATGAAAATATTAACACTTCTAAATGTTAGAGATTATGGACCTGGTGGTGTTCAAGAAGGGATATTTGCTAGATGACTACAAGGTTCACCTTCTCATCTCTAGGTTTCCTGTGAAGTACATTAGATGAATTGTTCCCAGTTGACTTGTAAAAAATAATATTAACTTTTACTGATTACTAAGTAATACATATCCATTATCAAATAGACCAAAAATAAAAATCATCTATAATTCTACTAGTAAGAAAAAAATAATTACATAGACAACATCTTTGATGCATATCTTCCAGATTTTTATATGTATAAATCTGTTATTTTCCATAATTGGCATAATATTATAAGCACTATTTTTCACAATTTTGATAAGATCATATGTACTGTTAACCAACTTTGTTGTATTAAATGTAACAAGATAATTTTCAATGATTTAAATATTCTACAGCATCATTTTAAGTGGCTGCAAGATATTCTATTATGTGGATATACCTTACTTTATTTCTTTAACCAACCCCATTTGTTGGACACTTGGGTTGTTCTGAACGTTTTGCTGTTATAAATAGCCTCCCCACTGACTTCTGCTGTAAAAGTGTTTAATGGGAACAAAGTGATTCCTGAGTTCATAATAATCCCATGCCTATTTGTGGTTTGGGCAAGGTTCTAAGATAAGATTGGATTGGACTTTATCTCAGTATTTGCCTCCAGTAGTAGTTAATTTGGTTGGTGCTAATAATTAAGGTAACTTCTTACCTACTTACGGTGAAAAGCACAAGATGAGTAATGGTTCTGGCCAGCATCTTATTTTAAGATTTCAGTGTACCGCTTTTAAGATATATCTAGAAAATAGATGATTGACATTAGCAGCCATTGATTGCATCATTGCACCTGTATTTTAAAAACAGGAAAGTTGTGGAATAATTATCAAATTTAAATAAATTAATACAAATTTAAATTAATTAATAATTAATGTGACAGAGCCATTCAAACTGCCAAAGTATGGAGTATGCTGAGAGATTTCTATGACATAAAAGTGTAAAATTCAGAGCACAGGGTCAGATATAGATGGCATCTCATGCTTGTCCAGGCTTTGACTTTTCAAGGTGAGAGTTTTGAGCTTCTCTTTCTTTAAATCTCATTGCTATTTAGAATCAGCCAAATATGAAGAAGGAAGTTTCAGTTTGGGAACAGGCTGTTTCCTAAATTTGCTTTCACATGGGAATGATCAGCTTTCAAACGAAACAAAGAAGAAGGGATGCAGAAAAAGAGTAAGAATGAGGCAATCAGAAAGCTTTAGGAGACTAGATGAGGGAGATAAAGAAGGTGTATGTATACACATGAGAGAAGTTGGGAGCTGAAGAAGCTATGTGTGTGCAGACGAGATGGTCAGATTGTGCTATGAGTGGTAAAAGGCAGAAGACAACAAGACGGAACAGCCCGTCTATGACCCCTAAGAATGTGATAAACAATGTTGGTAGGAAAAAGTTGTTTGGTCAGTCACCTGTGTCAGTGAGTTTGGTGAAAGAGAGGAAGCTTGATATCACTGGAGGGAGAGGGATTCGACATGTACAACCATGCCATGTAGATAGGAGATGTTTGTAAATTTGGGTTCTGTCATTTCAGCAGTATCTAGCCTTACTTTGTGGTTACTTCTGGCATTGGCTATGTGATGGGCAGAATAATGCCCCCAACAAGATGTCCACCTCCTATACTCCAGAACCTATAAGGTGTTCTCTTACCTGCCAAAAGGGACTTTAAATAAATGATTAAGGTACCAATCATGAGATGGTGAGATCAGCTTGGATTACCCAGGTGGGCCTAATCTAATTACATGAGTCAGTGAAACTTTCCCAGCTAGGGTAGAGAGATGAGCTCTTATTGAACAAGGAGGAGAGATCTGAAGCTTGAGAGAGGCTCAATGCACCATTGCTGGCTTTGAAGATGGAGGAAGGGGGCGGTGAGCCAAGGAATGTAGGTGGTCTCTAGAACCTGGAAGTGGCTCTGAGGGGACAGCCAACCAGCAAGGAAATGAGATCTCAGTTTTACAACCATGAGAAACTTAATTTTGCCAACGGGCAGATGTTGAAGCAGTCATAATCCATCCACAGAAACACAAGCTTAGTGATAACTAGTAGGAATTTCTCCCCAAATGGAGCTTCCTCCTAATCCAACATTAATCTTTTTCTCAGAAGAGACAGCCCTCAAACTAACTAACCTGGTGTCAGAAGTCCTGTCCAGTGTTTGTTGATTAATTATAGTTTTTCTATGCCTCAACTATACATATTTAACCTGCTCCTGCTGTTTAAATGAATAAAAGGGAAATTTATGGTTTTTCTAGCTGGTTTCCAATCTCTCTTCTCCTTTTTTGTTTTGCCAAATGGGGTAGATAAGGCATGAGAATTTGTAATTATGAATTACTGTTTTCTCCAAATCAGAAGTCACACTATCAGTTTACCCATTGGGGAGAAAGACAAAAATAGCTCCTCCTGAAATTTTACTTCCTCATTTGGGTCTTATGTGACTGAAATGTGTATGTAATAATGCCCTAGAAACCAACAGTTTTTACAGCTTGCCTCTCTAGAACAAACCTAAAAGAGTCTCAACTCTTTCAGGAATGATTTTTTAAAGGTCAAGTATCTTTTCCAAAATAAATCATTTTTAACCAACATTTAAACAGAAACAACACTTTATAGGGCTCAAAAACTGAAAGTTGGTGATATCACCATATTTGCCCTTCAGAATGCTAAATTTGTAATCAAATCCAAAAGTTTAGAAGCTGCTTTTTTATTGTCTGTTTTCATTTTTAAAAAGAGCATTATTTCAAAAAAAATATGATGATGATTTTGTCATGGGTATGAAAGGATAATTTAATTATTCTGTGTTGGCCTACAGACATCTGAAATATTATGTTCAGCCCTAAGCACCACTATTTTTAAGAGGAAGATTGACAAATATATAACCTAACCATATTTATAAAGTGTCTGGGAGCTCAGTCAAATAAAAAATAGCTCAACTACCTGAGGCTGCTTCACCTGAAAGAAACCCTGGGGTGGGGGGCAGGACATAAGTTCTGCCTTCAGATATCTGAAGAGCACTAGGGTGAAAACATTGGACTTGACAGTGTGGTTCCAAAGGGCATCTCAATGAATGAAAGTTATGAGAAGGCAAAAGGATATAAGAGAAACTTTTCTAATAATTAAAGCTCTTTTAAAACTGTACAGAAGAAATAAATTTCTGCTGCCTCCCACAAAGGATTAACTGCTATAGGAATTTCCTTCCTTCCATAAACAGATAAAATATATGAAACAACAGTTTTCAGATATTGGACAACAAACAGGCAGTGGATAACTGTCATCCCTGAGAGAAGGACAAAGATGAGGTGAGCCCTCTGATTACCCCAACTGCCTGCCTGAGGTTGGTGTCCAGGCTTCTCTGAAAGTAGGGGAAGCCCTGACACCAAAACTAGAAAAAGACATGACAAGAGAAGAAAACTACAAACATTCCTTGTGAATATAGATGCCAAAATCCTTAACAAAATTAGCAACTAAAATCTAGCAATATATTAACAGTATGATACATCATGATCAAGTGGGGTTTATTCCAGGAATGTAGGTTAAGTTCAACATTCAAAATTCAGGAAATTAATTTCACCATATAAACAGACTGAAAAGAAAAACCATATTATCATGTCAATGGATACAGGAAAAGCTTTTGACAAAAGTAATACCCATTTATAATTTTAATAAGAAAGAAAAACTCTTATAAAAAGAAGAATACAAGGGGACTTCCTTAACCTGGAAAAGGACATCTACCAAAATCCTTCTGTTAATACCTTATTTAATGACGAAAGACTGATTGCTTTCCCCCCTAAGATTGGGAATAAGGCAAGGATGTCCACTCTCCTTACATTTGTTCAACATTTTACTGGAGGTCATAGCCAATGCAACAAGGCTAGAAAACAAAATAAAAGGCTTACAGAGTGGAAAGAAAGAAATAAAACTTTCTTTTTTCGCAGATAACATGATCATGTTTGTAGAAAATCCTAAGGAATCTATTTTTTAAAAAAGCTGTTAGAATTAATAAATGAGTGTCCAAAGTCATAGGACACAAGCTCAATACACAAAATCAATTATATTTCTGTATACTAACAAACAATTAGACACTGAAAAAAATTTAATTACATTAATAGCATGCTAACGGTAGCATCAAATAATAGTAAAGGTTTGGGAATACATTTAACAAAACAAGTACAAGATCTGTATGCTGAAAACTAAATAACATCACTACTGATAGAAATTAAAGTAGACCAAAATAAACGGAGATATATACCATGTCCATGAATCAGAGGACTAGATATTGTTAAGATATCAATCCTCCCCAAATTGATTTATGGATCAAAGCAATTCCAATCAAAATCCTGGCAAGGTCTTCAGTAGAAATTAAAAAGCTGCCTCTAAAAGTTACATGGAAATGAAAAGAACCTACAACTAACAAAATAATTCTGAAAAATAAGAACAAAGATACAAAGATGGATTTAAACTACATAATTTTAAGATTTACTACACAATTATAATTATTTACTATGCAGTTAGTAATCAACACAGCATGCTATTGGTAAAATGACAGACATATCAATTGATGGGACAAAATAGAGAGTCAAAAACTAAACTCACATAGTTAACTGATTTTGACAAAGGTGCCAAGGTAATTCCATGCAGAAAGGATACTCTTTTCAACAAACAGTGTTGGAACAATTGATAT